CCCGAAACGTCAGCCTCTCTGCTCCTATGATGCTGCTTGGCCTGCTGTGTTCATCCAGCCCTGCACCTTGTTGTCTCGGATTCTCCAGCATCTGCAGTTCCTACTATCTCAGGCAGAGAATCCAACAGGTATCAGCAGTTTATGACAAAGCTGCATGGGTTGCCTCAGATTGATTTACAAAAGCCTCCAACGCTGTCATTTATGCGTACCAAATTACAATTAAAGTCACTTTAGATCCAAACTTTAAAATTACAAAGACACACACACAGAGCAAACGGGACAGTGCTTAGGTAATACTCAGAATTCAAAGAAATTCTGAAGAAGATCTGAAATACCAGACCTGAAATGTTAACTCTATTTCTCTCCACAGTTGCTGCCAGACCCGTTTCTCTGGCATTCTCTGTGTTTGTTTCATATTTCCAGCATTTGCAGATCAAAGTGGAACTATCTGGTGTTCACTTGTTGATTACACAAGGTCATGTAACTTTTGGAGAAGCTATATTTGATCATTTTGTGAGACAAGCTGACACTAGGTACCTTTGGTGGGGGGGGGGGGGGGGGGGGTGGGTGGGAGTGGGTGGATGCTCTTCAGAGGGTCAATGTGAACTTGATAGGCTGAATAGCCTGCTTCCATACTGTAGGGATTCTATGATTCTATCTGTCTGGGTACCAAACGGAGGATCTTTTATCACCCTGTGATCGACAACAATGTGACATCATTGCCAAAAAACAAAATAACTTAAGAAAGTCACCTCATTCCACCCTTGTTGTTTACATTTGTTCCTTTTTGCTTATGTTTTCTACCCATGATATTTATGCAAGAGTCTTGACTGTCCTATAGATAGTTGAATGTGTGTGCACTTGGGTTAAGAGGGGGTATAGTTTAAGTTTGTATAGTGGTAGTCCATAATTCATTTTGTCAATTGCTAAAGGATAAGTTCCATTTATTGGTGGAACCTACTATAAGTCTTTTTTTTTGAAATGATGGGCAAATTCAGGTAAACGTATCAATGTAGTGTTTCGATGATTATTTATACATTTGTGATAGCTCACTGAATAGTGGAGCTGGATGCACTTTCCATCAAAGTCATAATGCTGTGCAAACCTAAAGAGGAAAAATGTGAGGTACCTGTCCAACCAAATTCTGCCAGCGTCCAGTGAGCATGATGTTTTCATTCTAAGACAATCAAACTCAAGGAAGGAAGTATGGGAGACTGACTCCTCGGTGTTGTGCTCTAAGGAGGCAACCACGGCCAATAATATATTTAATTCTCACATATAACTGAGGACTGCTAAATGAGGAACAAGAACAAACCTGAGGGTATCATTTGCATTAATATGATGATGGGGGATGGGGGGGGATCTACATACCTGTGATCGTACATAGATGAAAACCGTGTTGTCATAAACTAACATGCAGTCATTGGCTGGTCACACTACTTAAAGCAAGGTAAACTGTGGCAAAATGTCATCTGAACTTTTCTCTCTCAGCTTCCAGCTACATCTGCTCTGATATCATCGCCAACAATTAGCCTCTTATATTACATCAATGAGCAGATATCTGGAGCATTTAAACAACACTGCAGATGATTTTCCTGATGAAGAGATTGGGTAAAGGAGAGGGGAGACAAAGGAAGCCAGTATAAACCAGAAAAATTGAACTAAGCAGTAACAGTATGTGGCAGTGCTGCACAATATTACCATGGACATTGGCTTCACCAAATACCTGGATAAAGACCAGAAATGATAGTCTGGAGCAGCTAGTAGTGAGAGACCAGCCAGGATTGTTTGTTTTTTATTCTGAGTCCTGCTGATTGATTCACTAGTTTAGTTTTGGCTCAGAATTGAATATGTTCTGTTTGTTTCACCTTTAACAACCAGCTCTTTCTTTCCCTTGGAATAAGACAATGACAGGCAGTGATTATATTCAAAATAAGATGACTCTATTCAGTGGTTCTGGTATTTGCATTCATTGCATTTTTATTCAATGTATGCATAAATTGCATGAATTTCAAAATAAATAGCCTTGTTCGCCAGTCCTTATTAAAAGAGAGTATACAGGGTTGTTTAGTTTAGATGAATTGTGACCCTCAACCGAGAGGTCTGTGAGCGTACAACTGCAAAAAAGCATTATGTATGTTGGGGATAGACGATCAATGCTTTTTTGAAAATAGGTTTTCAGCTACTACATGTTGGGTGTTAAACTGTCAGTTGCAGGAGTGGTAACTGTCTGCTCTTCTGCACTCATATTACTGCTGGAGAGCACTAAGTTCACCGAGTGTAAAACACAGGTTGTCTGGGAGCTATCTTGATCCCTTGGTCAGAGTTAGCTGGTCCCCAACAACGTGAAACAAACCCATTTTACTTCTTGCAGTTTCAAGCAAGAGTTATCCAGAGCAGCAGAGACAGACATCTTGATCAATACTTGCTAATCCAGGTATCAACAGTGTTGATCTCTCCTCAGTAACTAATTCCAGCTTACCCTACAGTTTGTCCAAATGACAAAAACTACCTTGCACAACTGTACCTTATGAAGATGAATGATTCTTCAACATGAACTAAGGAGTCTGGCACTCAGTTAGGATTCTGATTGGCAGGTTGTGAATAGATACGGTGTCCATCCAAGATATGCCATTAGCTAAGAATAGGCATGGTCAGGAGCTCAAATCAAAACTGAATATGCCATGATTACATTTAACCATTATCCCTAGACAGAGCAGAAATTCTGTACATAACCAATCTATTTCCTCACTTTCCTGTATCTTCTTTCTCTGGGCCTGAACCGTATTTGGTTGTTTCAGTTATAAGAATGGTCCTTAACTTCATTAAGGTTCTGGTCAACAACAAGAAAGGCCATATTTTCAATTCTGGCAAAGCCATTATTGATTTGACTGACAAACTGTGTTGAGATTGATGCATAAGGGCATCAATGTAGTTTGATGTTCTTGCCATTTATTTATGCATTAGGTATTTTTGTAATCATCAGTCAAAAATTGTATATCAGGGAGGCACCCATTTCACATGTGATCCTTTCTAAACTTTGAAAGGAAATGAACTGTTTGAACAATCTCAGTAATACCTCATTATTAAAATGTATTATGCAGATGTACTTTGAAATTCCCATTTTATAATACGCTAATTCGTAAGTTAAAATAGATTTTTCAAAAACTCAACTTGCAACAAAAAAAAATTAATCAGAGATCACATTTGAAAATTCTTGGATTTACAAATGAGCTATGTTGCCAGCACAGTCCCCTGTCAAATAGTGTGATTGATGACCTGATTGTAAAGTCTGATAGTAACACACTGCTTACTCTAGTTTAATTACACTAGTTTGTCAAAGCATTTATACATTCCTTTATGTGAAATTATGTTCATGTTTATTTTACCTGACTGTCCAGTCCAAGGAAAATGAGCATCAAAAAGAAAAGAACAGCCCATAGTGGTGCAAGAGGCATCATTGTGACAGCTTTCGGATAAGCAATGAATGTCAGACCAGGACCTAAAGATAAACATCAAGGTATTATCAATAATATCAAATATTCCCTGGATTGAGAGAAATTTTCAGACAGTCACCCATCTTTCAAATCCCTCTAATTCTGAAGGATAGTACTATGATGAGTTGAGATCAGACATCAGAGATTTAAACAGGGAATGAAATGACAAGACATGGCTTAGTCAAATGCCATTGCTATCTGTTCAGTTGATGTATTAGGAAAAGTTCAGTAGGTTGTACCTATGTATACTGGAGTTTAGAAGAACGAGAGTTATAGAGACATAGAGTCATACAGCATGGAAACAGACCCTTCAGTCGAACCAGTCCACGCCAACCATGTTCATAAACTGGTCCCACCTGCCTGTGCTTGGCCCATATGCCTCCAAACCTTTCCTATTCATGAACTTATCCAAATGTCTTAAAACATACAACATTCTGGGGGAGATTAATAGCGAGGATACAGACAGATGTTTCCCTTTATGAGGGAACTTAAAACTAGGAAATACAGTTTCAAAACAAGTGGTCTCCATTTCAGACAGAGATGAGGAGGAATTTCCTCTCTGAGGGACAATAATCTTGGAATTTTATATCCCATAGTTCATGGAGGCTGGAATATTAAATCTATTCAAAACTGAGTTTTGACGGATTGGGGATCTACAAGGGAGGCAAAGGTGAGCTTGCAGGAAGCTGGAGTTAAAATCAGAGCAGCCATGATCTTATTGAATGGCACAGCAGGCTCAAAGGCCCAAATGGCCTAGTTAGAGAACCTCCAAGTTGAAGACTTATGAAGAACACATCAAGATTAGGATGCATTTTTACAGACCGTTTATTGGTTGCCACAGAATGTACAAGTGCTTTCTAACTAATACCCTATCATGCCACCTGGCTTTTTATATACACACCTTAAAAGTTATCTTAGGTAGGGTCCCTACCTCTGAGCCAGAAAGACCAGGTCCAAGTCCTACCTGCCACGTCCTACCTGCAGGTCACTTAAAAAAACATCCACATCTTACTAGTTATTTTAAGAAACTTGTTCATAGGTGTTACGACATATCGCTGGGGGAGGTGGGTCTTGAACATGGTCCTCCTAGCTTAGAAGTAGGGCCATTATCACTGTGCCTCAAGACAGTTTAGACACACATCTAAGTAGCTTTATTATTTGATCATGGGTATGGCTGGCGAGGCCAGAATTTATTGTCCATCAATAATTGTTCAGAGAGCAGTTAAGGTCAAACATTGTGCTGTGGGTTTGGGCCAGATTGGGTATGGGTGCTAGATTTGCGTTCCTAAACGGTTTTAGTGAACCAGATAGATTTTTATAACAAATGACCGTAGTTACACTGTTTTCATGAAGTTAGCTCATTTTAAATTCCAGATTTTTATTGAATTCAAATTTCACTATCTGCTATGGTGGGATTTGAACCTACTTTGACAAATTAGTCTGGGGTTCCAGTCCAGTGATAATCACTACCCCACATATCTAAGTAGACTTTTGGCAACACATATCTAAGTAGATATTTTTAACCAACTTGTTCAGGCATTCTATGACAGGTGAGACTTGAACTCAAGTTTTCTCACTTCGAGGTAGGGACACTACCACTGTACTACAAGAGACCCCTAAACATGTCTAGGTAGTGTTACTTAAAAAAAAAACTGTGAATAACATTAGTTAGACCACAGCTGGAGTACTGTGCGCAGTTCTGGTTGCCATAGCAAGCATGGAATTGCACAAGAGAAGGTGCAGAAGAGATTCATCAGGATGAAGCCCGGGCTGAGGTGATTCAGCTATGAAGAGAGGCTCAATAGGCTGAGGTTGTTTTCCTGACAGCAGGGAAAGCTGATGTCGGATGTGACTGCAGTGTGTAATTCCGAGGGGCATCAAGAGGGTAGATAGCAGAAAACTTTTCCCTTAACAGAGGGGTCATTCACCAGAAGGCACAGTTTTAAGGTAAGAAGCATGATGTTTAGAGGGGATTTTGGGAAATGTCTCTTCACTCAAGGTTTGAGAGTATCTGGAACTCACTGCCTAAATGGGTAGTAGAGATGGGGATCATTGAGACATTTATGAGTTATTTAGACAAATACTTTCAATGCCATAGCTTGCAAGGCTATGGCCCAATGCTGGAAAAGGGAATTAGAGCAGATAGATGTTTGATGACCAGCTTGGGCAGGATGGATCAAGTGGCCTCTTTCCGTGCTATTAAAAACTCTGTGACTCTATGTTCGACATGCTATGACACACTCATGACAGGTGGGACTTGAACTCAGACTTTCTGGCTCAGAAAAAGGGATGCTACCACTGCACCATAGGAGCCCCCAAAACACATCTATGTATGGCGATCAAAACAAACTGAACCTAGCCCACGTGTTTAATAATACTTTCAACCAATCGGTATTTAACATCCATAAACATCCTTGTGTATACTTAATGCTGAGACAGATAGATTCTTGATCAGTAGGGGAATCAAAGGTTACAGGGAAAGTGCACGTAAGGAGTGTCAGATCAGCCAAGATCCTATTGAATGGCAGAGCAGGGTTGAGGGGCCAAGCAACCTACTCCTGTCCCTATTTCTTTTGGTCTTACAATCTTAATTGAACCTATTAGATACCACCTGACTTTAATACCCTTCTCCTTCTCATTTTTGATTCTTCTCTTTTTGTTTTTACTTTCCCACATCACCTCCTTTCCCTGCTCAAAAACATTTCGAACATTTTATCATTCTCATTGAAAGTCAGATCTACTTCTGCATAAGAGAATGGGTTTTGAGTGAATTACTAGTTTAGTTTGGGAAACTCAGACAGTGTGGACACGTTGGAGCATAGGGTCTGTTTCTGCTGTGTGTCTCTTCCATAAAATCTCACCCATAAACCAAACAGCAGATTTCTGGCAGACACTGTCTAGCCTGCAGAATGTTTTCTGCTTACAATTCACATTTCTTGTATCCTTTGCCTTTCAGATAATTGGGTTTTGCTATTTAATTAACGTACATTAATGTACGAATTGCAGGTTTCTTTCTATTTTGGACCTGGAACTGAATGCTTTTGTGAAAGTGAAATGTTGGGGGTAGTGTTTAACATTACAAGGTGAAGCATGTGCAAAAAGGATTGAATGAAAAATAAAGTCCAGTGCATTTTGTTTTGGGTGTGTCAAACTTACTGCCATTATTTTACTCTGTCCCGTTTTTCCACTTTATCAATAGGAAGTGATTCCAATCCATATCAATGACTTGCAACCAAATTGATGATTGTGTGCAGTTCTGCAGCATGACACACATGCTGCCATATATGACCCATGCCCCTTTCATGCCCTCCATGCCACTTCTATATGACATCAATGACCTATCCCACCTTCAAAACAACCTTGTTGGGGGGTACAACAGAAAAATAGCTCATAGTATTAATGATATTAATGAGATAATGCACCTTAAACACTTCTGAAACAGCGAATAGGCTAATCATTTCGTATAAATGATTACAAGTTTATGAATCAAGTTCTGGAGTGCACAAAGCTTTGTACAAGTGTGAGCCCTGCAAATTCATCAAGATCCTTTCACTGGAATCATGGGGGAACAGAAAGATATTTTTATTGGCTCTGCAGGTTGATCACAAACAACTCTAAGTGGCAATACATCATGGTTTGTTTTGAACAGATGCTCTTGGAGCTAAAGGCAAGGCCCGAAAAAGCTTCCTAGCTTGAACCCCAACGTACAGCAACTATATTACTGTAAAGTAGCAGCAGACCATATTGATGTAAACTATAGATATTGTAACAGAGAGTGCAATCACAGAGACAAATGTTAATAAGGTCGCAATGAGGAATAATGCAAACCGCACTACACATGCCATAATCACAAATTCAGTGTGGTGCCATAAGATATTTATGTTGACCAAATCATCAGCTAAATCAGTTTTGCATAATAATAGATCTCTCCACAGCAAATCATTTACAAAATGGCAATTGTGGTGGTAATATGGAAGAGGTTGGGAATGAGCAGCAAATGCTATGTAATGTACAGTACAATTTAGCATATAGTTAATATGTTACATCAAAAAGTGTATCCACAGTGAGTAGAAATATCTAATATGGCATATAAAGGTGATGCAATGACAAAAAGAATGCATGCCCCTTGTATCAAATGTCCAGCAGAACAAGGACAGCACAGAAACATTGCTTTAGCATGTCATATGTCTCGATGGAGATATTCTCTACTGCAATACAGTAGAGTGGTCTGAAATTCCTTTAAATGAGGTAGTTCAGTTTTGCCTCTTTTCTTAAAAAAAAACCAGCTTGCTCGTGATTTCAAAAGTAACTAAGGATCTGCTCGTTTGCATACCCACTGATCTAGACATCAGTGTAAAACATGCATAAAATGGATGCAAGCAACTGAACGAGCAGAAGATTCTGATGTAGTCTTTAAGAAACAGTACTGCCTACATTCAGCAAGCAGCAGACTGGTCACTGGGAGTGTTACAAGCAAGTATGAGAGCGACATTTGTCTTTGCACTTCCCTCTCTAATAACAGCATATTTTAACAATGCTTTTACTATCTACATGTAGATTTATAGCCGTGCAGGGCCGAGAAGATTATAGCACCAAGCCAGAATAAAAAGAAGAAATTGCTTCCCTGTATCAGAGCTTTAAATCCTACTCGATGAAATCAGAATCATGAGGCATGCGTTACATAAAGGGTCTGAAAGTGTTAACCTAGAGGAATTCCTCAACCACTTTCAATATGATCATATCAAATGGATGTGACAGGAGAACAGGTTAAAAACTCGAAGACCTAACATCCAGGTCCTTGTCATTGTCTCTGTAATAATGTCACTCATATAAATGTAACTTGTACATAATTGCTATCATGCAATAGCCAATGTCTTGTTTAAAACAAGAGCCTCTTCTCATTAGACTGCTGAGTGGTTTTCCTCTTCCACCCTACACCAGGCGGGCCCTATAGATCAGGAAAGAGGATGGTGGCAGGAAATTTACCAGATAGCTCAGACAACATACTGCCTACTAGGGAGAGATACCACAAGCTATCAAAAAAGATGACCCATACTGCCTAGAAGGTTATACTGGCACTGAGCCACAACAAGTTCAGTGGTCTCTCCAAAACTGGCAAGGTAACACACTAGGTACTCTCTATGTTACTTCCTTGCCTACTTTGGGCACCAGCACACTCAACCCTTCTTAAAGTAACACTTACACAACCAACTCTTCACACAGTTCTATGGCTAACCATGACTTTAATTTAATATCCTATACTTTTTAAAAAAGGCATGCATTTATACGGTGCATTTCATAACAGCTAGAGAGTTCAAAGAATTTATAGCCATTGAGGTACTTTTGAAGTGCAGTCAAGTTGCAGGAAATATACTGGTCAATTTCAATGCAACAAACAAGCATGAAGAGCAATGTGATAATAACCAGATAAGCTATTAACAGAGGGATAAATATCAACCAAGACACTGGAAGAAGTCATATAAATACAGAAAGTGCTGGAGAAACTCTAAGTCTGTCAGCATCTTTAGAGAAAGAAGCACAGCTATTGGAATCCAACTGCTGAGTCCAATTGAATTGAAAATGTTAACTCTGCTTTTCTCTCTCCACTGATGATGCCAGACTCACTGAGTTTCTCAAGCACTTTGTTTTGATTTCAGACTTTTTTTATTCATTCGTGGGATGAGAGCATCGCTGGCGAGGCAGCATTTATTGCCAATCCCTAATTGCCCAGAGGGCAGTTCATAGTCAACCACATTGCTGTGGGTCTGGAGTCACATGTAAGGCCAGACCAGGTAAGGATGGCAGCTTCCTTCCCTAAAGGACTTAGTGAACCAGATGGGCTTTTCTGATAATCAACAATGGATTCATGGTTATCATTAGATTTTTAATTCCAGATGTTTACTGAATTCAAATTCCACTGTCGACCATGGCGGGATTTGAACCTGGGTCCCCAGAACGCTATCTGGGTCTCTGGATTAACAGTCCAGCAATAATACCACTAGGACATTGCCTCCCCTTACTTCCAGTGTCTATCGTACTTTGCTTTTATTCACTGGGAAGAACTCCCCTGCTTTTCCTCAGATTAACACCATTGGATCTATTAATCTCACTCAAGCAGGCAGATGTGGGCTTGAGTTAATGTCTTATCTGAAAGATGGCACCTCTGACAATGCAGCTTTCTCTTGATACTAAGCTGGAATTTTGTGCTCTATCTCTAAAGCGCAACTTGAACCTTGTAATTCACAGGCAAGAGCGCTACCCATTGAGCTACAACTGACAGCTTCATCTTTTTGATCAACTTGTACCCTTTGACATGGTTTCACAATTCTTCTTCAGTGCCTCTTCTCTGTTGCCCAGCTAAGCACATAGTGTTGTTTGTTACCTCTCATCGCTAGAGAATAATCGGCAAAGACTTCCCTTCTTGTTGCAGTACTATTACCACTGCTGTCCCCCAGGGATCATTACTTTTTTCTTATTACATGCTGCCTTTGGGGAGACCATCTGAAAGCCCATTGTCAGTTTCCACGTGTACATTGATGACATCCAACCCTAGAGATCACCATCTCTTTCAAACCCTTCACTATCTTAGATCTGTCAGACTGCCTGCCTGCCTGACATCTGGTAATGGATTGGTTTTTATTATTCACTCATGGGACATGGGCATCATTGGCTGGATAGCATTTGTTATCCATCCCTAGTTGCTCTAGGGAAGGTGGTGGTGAGCGCCTCTTGAACTGCTGCAGTCCACTTGCTATAGGTTGACCCGCAATGCCCTGAGGAAGGGAATTCCAGGACGAGTTGAAATTTTCTCCAAACAAATCTTGGGAGGTCATTGGCTTCAGTCCCCGTGGCAAACTCCATTCCCTAACCACCCAACGCCATCCTTTTCCCTCATGTACAATGTTGTCCTTATAATTAATCATGAGATGAGTTTATAACCACAAATCTACAATGTCACCGAGACTACTGTAACATCAAAACAAAAACAGAAACTGCTAGTGTAGTTCTGGAGGTCTGCAGGTCTGGCAGTATCTGGTAGAAGATAGCAGAGTTAATGTTTCATGTCCGGCTGGCCCTTCAGCAGAACCAGACTCGAAACATTAACTCTATTTTCTTTCTTTCTTTCTTCCTTTAAGATGTTACTCAAATCTATCTTCTTGCCAAATTAGTTAGTCATCTGCCCTAATCCCTCCTTATATTGATTGGTGTCAATTTTTCCTTTAATAACCCCTCTCTGAAAAGTCTCATGACATTTTACTTAAATGCTACATAAATACCCCTAGTTATTGTGTTTCTTCTGTTATGTTCCTTATTTGCTCAAAGCTATCTTTTTCATCAAAATTCACATGCAGAGGAAAATAGGGATCCTTATTACACCAATCTTGGAATGCTCAATTGTACCTATCTAAATTCATCTATTCAAATCTATATTTTGGCAGAATTTAGTGTTGCATACTTCCTTTTCATGAATAAACAGCAGTGAAAATCAGTTATTTGGCATTTCCATAAAGCAGAGTTGAGTTATTTCATTATTCTGTTTCAAATTCTGTCTCATCTTGTAATGAATAAAGCTGTGAATTCTTATTTGTGGCTTCCATGGAAACATGATTTTATTCCTGGTTTGCATCCTGATTGTAAAAACAATGCTATTACTTGGTACTGCCACTGAATGGTGCAATAATTTGACTCATACATTTGTGAAGAGGAAGCTGACAAAAACGCTTTCATTGCTCTGCAGAGTATGGTATTATCCAGCTTCATGGGTATGGCGTTATTTTCTAATTTAAATGAACTGACACACAGCAAAACAACATTCCTAGCTTATCATCTCCCAAACTTTTTCCTGCTGCTTCTCCATTACATTCATAAAATTGTGGAAGGAGGCCATTTGGCCCATCAAGTCCACATTGACCCTCTGAACAGCATCCCATCTATACCCAGCCCCCCTACTCTATCCATCCTGCACACAATGGGCAATTTAGCACGGTCATTCCACTTAACCTGCATATCTTTGGACTGTGGGAGAAAACCAGAGCACCTAGGGGAAGTCCATGCAAATATTGGCAGAATGTACAAACTCCACACAGAGTCACCTGAGGCTAGAATTGAACCCAGGTTCCTGGCGCTGTGAGGCAGCAGTGCTAACCATTGAGCCACTGTGCCACCCCTATATTAAAGCATCTCAAAATCTCCCTGTTCAACTCCCTCTAACCTCAATCATTCCAGTCTTTCAGCAGCCTCCTGTTGCAGAATGAATCAAGACATGACCGAAAGAGAAAAAATGGAAACGGGTAAGAAACAGTGAGAAAAAAACATTTTTAAAACAATTTCAATAAAACATCTGGAATAATGGTTTTAGTAAAGTGGGAAACGATAAAAAAGCAAATCAAAATGAGGAAAAACACAATTGGAAAGGAATAGGAAGTTGTTGTGCAGCTAATAAAAGGTAAGTCTTCCTCAGAATGTCTAAAATAATAGCTGGTCAGTGAAATCCTACGTTGGTGCACTAGCAGGTGCTTAAAGTTGGGATACATGTTAGGGCAGTGTAAATAGATCTTTGCTCTCCACCTGATCAGTGGTGTGGTTAACTTTGTTGCTAAGATTTGATATCAAAGCTGGGACTCTGTTCCTTTCTCTCAAGCCTCAACAGGATGCAAAACAGCAGAACCTAGTAATTTAGCTGGTGTAATGTTTCCACAACCTAACTGTTGGTGGTGAAATATTCTTTCTGCTGACAGGAATAAAATGTCACCCTTCAGCCTTGGTGAGTTTTGAAGTAAATTCAGATAGAAGCTACTTCAGTAAACCTAGGAATAAACCAATGGGCAAGTGGCAAATTTACAGCTTTGGTTTTCGTTGTTATTTAGATATCCATGCTGTTCTCCAAAATATTTCTCTAGTTTCTATATCAAAATACAGCAGATGATGGAAATGTGAATCAATAAAATGTGAGTTCTGATGAAATATCATCAACCTGAAACATTAACTCTATTTCTTTATCCACAGAGGTCACCTGACCTGCTGAATGTTTACAGCATTTTCTGTTTTTATCCAGTTGCTAACCTCAGTCCGTATTGGCGGTTCCAAACATTCTCTGTTGGGGCCAAGAAACAAAGTCAAGACTGGTTTTGCCTAGAAGACACTCAATTCTTACCAGCAGGCCACAGAATAGTACTGATCATGTTTTGGAACTCATAATTTGGTCTGTTCTTCTCCCTAAGGGAAGTTAACAATGGGAGATATGTAGAGACAATGATGCTACAATTTCTCTTGACCAGCAATGCAGAATGGGGACATTGCATTGAATCTCCTACTATAGACCCAAACTGATGATCACCTTCACTGGGCTCAACCTAACTTAATGTAGTGTGGCAAGTATAACCAGCAACTGATTCAGAAAATATCCATATTGGACTGTCAGCAAGGATTGACACCTATCCTTTACTCTCCAAGAGACAGGACACTTGTTAAGAAGGGATGTTAAGTTGAAAACAATGGTGTGCTCAAATTTGCCTTTAACATTATTTTGTTTTTCCAGCTTGCATCAGTTCACTATGATCAAGTCACAATTAAGGTGATTGCTTACAGCTCACCTGATTCAGCTACTTCTGCTATTGGCACTCCTTGTTCAAAAGCCATGAATCCTAACACAGAGAAAATAGCAAAACCAGCAACGAAGCTGGTGCCACTGTTGAGACAGCATAGCATTACGCAATCCCTGCAAAACAGCAACAACAATAACTTAATGTTTAAAACAGTTTTTGTGTTCAATAAAACCTTGTCTATTAAACATGGAACAGTTTGGTTAATATTCACCATGATTACCATATTGAATTCACCTTTACACAGAAGGATATCAAGTCTAAATTAAAAGTACTTCTTTGTTAAGAGTGATAGTATTGTTTGTCATAAAGAAATCAGGAATAATTTATCTGAATCATCTCTACTCCGATAAACTCCCAAATGATTTCCTACAAATAACCTGAAGCGTTAGCCAAGGCAGCCTGAATGCACAATTCAGTTTACTTCACTCGATAATGCAAGGCAAGATCATTTGCAAAATTTTCCAGTTTCCTGGGCATGTCATCAATGTCAAGCATCAATGGCTTGTAAAGGCTAATAGCTGTCTGTTACACCAGTTCAATATCTGTCAACAAGGAGAGGAACACTAGGTATGAGGTGGAGGCAGAATGCTTCTGCACTGAATAAAAAAAAAACTCAGAACTGCGGATGCTGGAAATCAGAAGCAAAACAGAAATGGCTGGAAAGATTCAGCAGATGTGGCAGCAGATGTGGAGAGTTGCAGAGTTAATGTTTTTCTTCTCCTCTTCCCCCAACCCCATGTTCAGCATACACACCAACCTTTTCCTAACTCCAATCAGTTTTGATGAAAGGTCATTGGACCTGAAATGTTACCTCTGATTTTTCTCCACAGACCTGCTGAGGCTTCTGCATGAGGCTGCTCCCCCAATCATGAATAGATGTGCAGACCTTCATCTCGGAATTCAGCATGACTGAATGAGGCCATGTGGAGTACTCAAGAAGATGAGGCCAGAGGAGAAGGGGAAAGGAACTCTCAGCGAACTGTGTCCTTCCCGATCTCAGTGACAGCAAGGCAAGGACAGTTCTTTTCATTCTTCCATGGATATGGGTATCATTGGTAAGGTCAACACTTTTTTGCCCAACCCGAAGCAAGGGTACACCCACTGATGTCCAAAATGGTCTGCGATTCAGCAGCAATTTCAAGGGCATTCAATATGGTTGGAGAGTTGTTCAGGCACTCTGGCTGCATTATGAGAGGGATGATTAATTTATTTATAAATTGGGAAGTTAGGGTGACTCAAATACAACTTAGTTGTGGTTCCAGCTTGGGTTTGCATCTCCTTCCTGAGCTCTGAGTGAAGGGTCACTGGACCTAAAACATTAACTCTGATTTCACTTCACAGATGCTGCCAGATCTGCTGAACTTTTCCAGCAATTTCTGTTTTTGTAAAAATAGCAAGAACCAGGGTCAGATTTTAAAGAAAGCCTTTGTTACTGTCTTTTGACTTACTGGATCAAAGATAGCTTTATTAAAATTGAACATACTACAATTACGAACAGCAATTACAAGCCTAAATTACCTCTTGCAATGTCAGAAACAATGAAAATGTCTCTTTTATACCTGCCGTCAGCACATGCTAACTGCTAAAACACCATGGAGTATCTGATTAGCCTTTTGTATTGGAAAGCTTCAGATGTACAATGATTGTAAGATACTTTAGAATTCCTTAACATCATGAAATAAATGCAAGTTCTATCTTTCATCTTACTCCTATTATGGATACCTCCGAACCTAATACCACCTAACATCTATCTTCAAATTCCTTTGGAGATAGATCGGAACGAAGGGTTTTAAAAAACAGCAATTCGCATAACGATTGGGTTGGTGGGCATTCACAATCTTCCTAATATCTGGAATACTTGCAGAACCAGATCAACACGAGTACCCTTTGCAGCTTACAACCTGTAATTGTAGGATATTCACACTCAGAAAAACAGCTGAATTAGCGCAGGTCAGAAAAACACTAATGGCACTCAAAAGACATTAGGCTTTCAAGTTATCTTTTGTTCTGCGGGCTTGGCGAGTGCTTTTGTAGTATAGAACCTAACACTCTGCAACTTGACAGTCAATTAACTATGTTGATATTAATCCTTCTGAACAGTCACCAACTAGGAGAATTTAATAATGGCCCACCATAACTCTTCTGAATTGTATACTTGTTGTGATTAACCAAATAAAGGCTGGATTTGGGCTTCATATTGAGCTTAGCTTGGCATTTCTGAGGTGAACTAACTGCCCCAGTTCAAATAAAATACCTGTTGCCTAATCAGCTGGAACCTGTTTCTGTGACATGAAGATCTTGTTTGTTGGCACAAAATTCCAAGTTGTAGAAAGAAATAAGAAGCTCCAAGTTCCCACCAGATACTTTCAGATTGGGACAATAATTACACTTCTATAGTGCCTTAGCGTTATGACATGTCTCAAGGCATTTCACTGCAGCATTCTAGAACAAAGTACGATTGTGCATCACATAATGATTAGGGTGACCTCAGCTTGCTCAACAAGGTAGGCTTTAAGGAGGTAAAGCGAAACACTTGTGGAATTCCGAGAGCTTTGGTCAGAATTCAGATCTGCTGGGTTTCCATCCTGCACGATATAGTTAGTAAGTTTGCAGATGACACCTAAATTGGAAGCGTAGTGGACAGCGAAGAAGGTTACCTTACAGTACAATGAGATCTTGATCAGATGAGCCAATGGGCCAGGATGTGGCAGATGGAGTTTAATTTAGATAAACGTGAGGTGTTGCACTTTGGAAAGGCAAACCAGGGCAGGACTTATACACTTAATGGTAAGGTCCTGAGGAATGTTTTTGAACAAAGAGACATTGGAGTTCAGGTTCATAGTTCCTTGAAAGTGGAGTTGCAGGTAGATACAATGGTGAAGGTGGTGTTTGGTATGCTTGTGTTTATTGGTCAGTGCATTGAGTATAGGAGTTGGGAGGTCATGTAGCAGCTGTACAGGACATTGGTTCGGCCACTTTAGGAGTAATGCGTGCAGTTCTGGTCTCCATCTTATAGGAAGGATGTTGTGAAACTAGAAAGAGTTCAGAAAAGATTTACAAGGATGTTGCCAGGCTTGCAGGGTTTGAGCTATAGGGAGAGGCTGAATAGACTGGAGCGTTGGAGGCTGAGGGGTGACCTTATAGAGGTTTACAAAATCATGAAGGGCATGTATAGGGTAAATAGGCAAAGTCTTTTCCCTGGGATGGGAGAGTCCAAAACTAGAGGACATAGGTTTAAGGTGAGAGGGAAAAGAGATAAAAGTGACCTAAGGGTCAACTTGTTCATGCAGAGTGTGGTGCATGTATGGAATGAGCTGCTACAGGAAGTGATGGAGGCTGGTACGATTATAACATTTAAAAGGCATCTGGATGAGTATATAAACAAGAAGGGATTAGAGAGATATGGGCTAAATGCTGACAAATGGGACTAGGGTTATATAGTATATCTGGTCAGCATGGACAAGTTGGACCGAAGGGTGTGCTTCCGTGCTGTATATCTCTATGACTTTGCTTGAGGTTTAAGAGAATGAGAGGCAACCTTATTGAAACATATAAAATTCTTTGGGGACTCGACAGGTGGATGCAGTGAGATTGTTTCCCCTTGCGAGCGCGCCTCGGACCAGAGGGCATAATCTCAGAGTTAAGGAGTCACCCACTTAAAAGTGATATGAAGGTGAAGTTTTTTTTTCTTAGAGGGTGGTGAATCTGTGCAATTCTTTATTCCTGTTGAGGCTGGATCATTAAGTATATTCACAGCTAAGATAGAGAGATTTAAAATCATTAAGGGAATCACGGGTTATGGGGATAAGCAGGAAAGTGGAGCTGGAGATTATCAGATCAGCCATGATCTCATTAAATGCTGAAGCAGACTCAATGGGTCGGATGGCGTACTTCTGCTCCTATATCTTTTGGCCTTATGTTTTTATCTGGCAGATTACCTGAGGCCTTGGAAACCCAATGCACATCAGTTAAAAATAAAATGACTTTTTAAACTTAGACATGGAGCCCTAATAAACAAACAATATTGGTTGATGACAAATGGATTGGTTGCCTCCATTAAAAATGGCAGTGGGCATTTTGTGGCATGCGGAGGTCCTTTGTTAAATTTTTAAATCATAACCTGTTTTTGCGTGTAATTTCATGCCAAATAATCAGAGTCCTCCACGTCTGAGCTACTGTTCCACACAAACAACCTCCATCAGCTTGGCTTTTTCATACAAAGTATAAGCCAAGAGTCTAAAAACTCTGCCTCATCATCTGTGAAAATTGGATCACTAAACTATCTTAATTGAGTGACATGCAAGCCAAAGCTACCATTTTGCCATTTTAACCAAACCTCCTGAAGTGTTTAATGGTTGGATCTAAGGGAATTTTATAAATGTAAATCTCTCTGGAGTGTGCTAACAACCCCTATTATATTAAACTATAATCTTGCAGTACATAATTTGATTTACTACATGGTACCTCATCTAACAGATCCCAGGGTAACTCTTCTAACTCTGAGACTTAACCTTTTGTGAACTACAACTAATTCTGTGGCAACATCTTATTAGAAATTAATGCTAAAACTGTTTTTTAGACCAGTTGGTTAAAAGCTATTTTTAAAATAAAAATTATAGGGTCGTTATTTGCAATTAAAAGCGTGCTGGGTACTTGCTAAATTTTCAGCAATGTCTACTTTTGGCCTGTTGCACATGTCTCATCAGTATTTACTGTATTACTTGCATACACAGATGGAGCTCTTTGCTTTGCTCGAATCCCATTCCTCTGTTGGTCTAAATGGTGGGTGTTAGCAAAGATCAACCATGGGGAGAATCAGGTTGGTCATAAGGGGAGGTGACGGCCTAGTGGTATTATCACTGGACTGTTAATCCAGAGACTTAGATAATGTTCTGGGGACCCAGGTTCAGATCCCACCAGGGTAGGTGGTGGAATCTGAATTGAATAAATGTCTGGAATTAAGAATCTAATGATGACCATGAATCAGTTGCCGATTGTCAGGGAAAAACCCATCTAGTTCACTAATGTCCTTTAGGGAAGGAAACTGCCATTCTTACTGGTCTGGCCTACATGTGACTCCAGACCCACAGCAATGTGGTTGACTCTTAACTGCCTCTGGGCAATTAGGGTTGGGCAAGAAAGCAACATCCGCATCCTGTGAATCAATAAAGGAAAAAAAATGCATTTGACTTTCCAACTATCAGTAGTCAAGAATTTAAATTCAAGCTATTTATTCCCCTTCAGTGACATTGAAACCTTTATTCCTGCTACATAAACCAGGAATCGAATTCAGAAATATCTTTGTCTGTGTGTCTCAAAGACCACAGACTTACTAAGCCATCAGGAACATCATTTAGAAATAAATTAACATGAATTATGATTCTATTCATGTTGCAAGGGCAAAAGTGTCAGAGAGGTTTTGGATAGAACTGGATAATTTCTGAAATGGTATCTAAAGTGCTTCTGCATAGTGTTTCAGCCCAGTTGTATTCTCAATGAAAATGTAAAAGGATAGAAGGACGAGGCTTTTTAAATCAAATGGTGTATTGTTGAGGAGAACAATGAAATAGTATTTTAGTGTCTCCAGCTGATAAAAGAATATTGATTTGTACAAGCATAGGCTTTGTAAACCGCCTAGTGTTACATAGGACATTGAGAATAACAATGGTTGATATCTAGCTTATATCTTGAAAGCCAAAAAATACACTTTAGCAAATCACTCTCTTACCTGTAACAGTTGTTATGATAGGGATTATAGCTTCCTAATGCAGTCAAACATCCAAGGCAAATTGCATATGAGAAGAAAATCTGGGTGCCAGCATCCAGCCAGACCTGCCAAAAAGCAAGATGACTTGTCAATATTCTCCCACACTGGATGAATCTTAATTTGGTATTCTGTTTTGTAGTTTGGCTAAAACAGAATACCAAATTAAGCCCATCTTTTAGCATTATCAAGGCATTAATGAAAGAGCAAAGGCTTTGGCTCCTCTAGACCCCAGAAGGAAAGCTTGTGTCTCCTCTCAACTGCTTCCCAACTGTGACTCCTTTCTTGAACAAAGAACAAAGAACAATACAGCACAGGAACAGGCCCTTCGGCCCTCCAAGCCTGCACTAACACATTTTGCCCTTCAATACTAAAACTTAAGGACTCATCTAACTTAAAATGTTTTAAGATGTACAATACTTCTTTCTCTTTAATAGCAACTAGGCTTAGGAATTCAACACTCCCTTCCCTGAGATCTTTAATACACTGTATGCGCGAGATGGTGCAGGAATTGAAACCCACCATTTTCTTGTGTTGGGGCGCAAGCTCCAGATCATGCAAATGTCTGCCACTTCCCTTCTGTTTCTGGCATTCATTTGAGAAGTCAGCCGCCAATGTAAAATTGAAGCCTATAAGATTAAATAATCCCGGGGCCATTTCTGAAGCAGTAGGTGGGTCTCGAACACACTTTGTAACTGGGGTCGGGAACAAAATCATTGAAGCTGGGTCCTGTTCCTGCCCTGATCCATGGCCTAGCCCTCTCAACCTGAGAACAGCAGTCCCTTATTGCCCCAGATCCTACTTATTGGGCCCTGATGTATCCACCTGCCTGGGGCCTGGCACTTAACCCATCTGTCTTGAATGTCTGCATTCCATTTAGTGTAGAGATTGAAATAATGCATAGAGGCTGGGTCCTGTCACCAAGTCACCCTTTATTTACTAGGACACAATACACAGCCTGTGTCCAGCTAGCTCGGAGGGAATCCTTAAATGAGGAGATTCTAATCTCCGGATTATATTGGTCAGCCAAGCTCTCCTGATTGGCCCTGGTTAACAACCCCAATCAAGGATCTTGTTGCGCACAAGATCCACCTGGTTTCAATCACTGCATACCCTCCCATCCTCACCAAGTGCGGGGATGTAGGCCTTGTCTTTTGTTTGTGGCTTCTCTGCAACGTTTTTGCCCCAGGTCCGGTTCCTCTGATTAGGACTTGGATGCAGGTGAGGCATACCAGACAGTGGCCTGTCTCTTGCATCTGGAACATCTCGGGAGAGTTCCTTCCTCTTCTTCCAGTGGCAGCAGTATGGAGGCTGCATCCTTCTCAGACTCTGCAGTTTCCTCGACACTAGATGTGTACAGGCAGGCTGTCTGACTGTTCTGATAGACCAGGTATGTTTTACTCTTGTCCCATTTGTGATCTAACAGCTTTCAGGTGATCCACATGTTTGTTCAGGACTGTATCACCTACCCAAACTTTGTAAGTGACAGGACCTGACCTTGCGTCAACCTCGCCTCGAACACATACAGGGCCATTTCCATGGTTCCAGCATCAAACTTTGTCCCCAGAATTAACGTGTCTCTCTTGCTAAGTGGATGCATGTGGCTGGCACTGGTGTTCCTGCTGCCATTTCACTCTCCCCCACCACCCCCATCCCCCACCCCAAGATCTGGGAATATCAGGTTTAACCTGGTGCGGAGTCTTCTCCCCATCAGCAACTCTGCTGGAGCTATCCCTATTGTTGCGTGCAGGTGGCCCTATAATCAAACAGGAACCAGGACATTTTGGTATCAATTGACGCTGTAGGCTGCTTCTTTAAGCCTGCCTTCAACATTTGGACCGCTCTTTCTGCTAGACCATCAGACAATGTATGTTATGGAGCTGTCATTATGTGTCAAATAAAACCGATAGGACCTCAGGATTAGTGGAGGTTTGGGGTCATAATATTCCTTAACTAACTGTCAATTCTTGCAAGGTTTTGGCATCTGGTGCTTCTAGGAAAGTTAAGCCCCTTATAACCGAAAATGCTGTGGGTCCAAATGCAGTTAGAAGGATTACTCATTGCTTTACATCTGTCCCAATATCATTTACCCAGAAAAAATATTGCATTCTTTCCATATACTGTGCCCTGTCTTTGACAGCAGGGTCAAATGAATCAAGCTTCCTAAATAGTGCCATGATGCCTCCAAGATGACAGTTGCAAGCGAATGTTCTTTGGGCGCATCCTGTTTTCTCCTGTCACCACTGAAATAACTGCACAAAGTTGGGGTCCCATCACCAAGTCACCTTTTATTTACTAGTGCACAGTACACTGGCGCCAGCCCGCCAGCTTGGAGTCAATCCTCAACTGAGGAGACTCTAATCTCCTGGTTATGTTGGTCAGCCAGGGCTTTCCTGATTGGGGTTATTAACCTGGGCCAATCAAGAACCTCATAGTCAATGAGGTCCACCTGGTCCCAATCATTAGAGACCCTTAATACTGTTAGGGAGAGTTTCAGCATATTGACCCAGCAACACTGAAAGAATGGTGATATATTTCCATGTCAGGATGGTGATTAGTTTGGAGGGAAACTTGCATGTGGCGGTGGTCCATGTATCCATTGCCCTTGTTCTTCTAGATGGAAGTTGTCATGGATTTGGAAGGAACTGTTTAAGGAGCCTGGGTGAATTTCTGCAGTCCATTTTGTAGATTGTACACACTGCTGCTACTAAGCATTGGTGGTTCAGGGCATGAATGTGGATATGGAGCCAATCAAGTGAGCTGCTTTGCCTCAGATGGTATTGTGCTTCTTCAATGTTGTCGGAGCTGCATGGATCCAGGCAAGTGGAGGGTTTTCCAGCATAAACATCACTTGTGCTTTTTGAAGGCAGGAGGTGAATTACTCACTCCAACCTCTGACCCTCTTTTGTAGTCACATGACTGCTCCAGTTGGATTTCTGGTCAATGGTGACTTCCAGGGTGTTTATAGTGGGAGATTCAGTCATGGCAATGCCAGTGAATGTCAAGGGGCTGTAGTTAAATTCTCTCTTGTTGGAGCTGGTCTTTGCCTTGCACTTGTATGGCACAAATGTTACTTGGATATTGTTCAGGTCTTGCTGCATTTTTACAGAGTGCTTCAATACTTGTGGAGTCATGAATTGTGTTAAATATTCTGCAATCACCACTTCTGACCTTCTGATGGATAGAAGGTCATTGTTGAAGCAGTTGAAGATGATTGGGCCTAGGACACTATCCAGAAGAACCCCTGCAGAAATGTCCTGAAGCTGAGACGTCTGCAGGAGTCTGTGGTATTCAGCAGAGGATTGAGCTGGTGCCAGGAGAAATCGTGGCAGCCAGTGGGAATGTGGAGGACTCCCAGAACATTTCCCTCACAACAGTATTCCACGAACTTGCCACCTCTGCTGGATCTATTCTCCTGATGAGATGAGACTGACTCAGGAGCAGTGATGATGGTATCTGGGACATGGGGCTGAATCTTACATTTGTTTCAGTAACTGCGAGTTGCTTTGGGTTTATTTGACAGTATTCTGCCTAGCGAGTTTTCTCACCATATCCTAAGAACTTCATCTCATGAATTAGGCTTCCCCATTCCTGTTATGTCCCTCTCATTCGATTTTATCCCCAATGTACCATCTATTGTTCCTAGAACAACTCGCCACTCACCAGATATCCACTGAAACAGCATCATCCCTGGAGCCTCAGGACCGAGGGCATGGCAGCACGGGAACTGGATAATGGCACATGCTCCAGGTGCCCTTTTCTCACAAGGAACCAGGGCAGGGTCGAAGACACCTAGTCTGAGGAAGCCCATCAGAAATGTCCTCTCGGGATACTCAGGAGATGGCTTGGCCCTCCACCTCTACCTTGTCTGCCTCCTTCCCACCCTTGGAAGGTCAGCTGAGAGGGTCCATTTGAGACAAGAAGACCGTTAGCATATCTGTGCTGTCCAGATACATAAACTCTCAGGGTTGCCTTGTCAAACCTCCAGGGCCAACAGGCTCTACTACTGATTAGAATCCCTCCATCCCAGATATAATACCTGAGACAATATTAAGATGGAATGGAAGGGAAAGAAAGAAAAAAAAATCCCTTTGAGCGCACTTTGGTGGTATGAGATTTAACGCACTGTATGTGAAGCACCTTTGCATAAATTGATTGGTTTCATACTACATCCATTTGTTCGACTCTCTTTGTCACTCCAGATGAAACTATGCCAGCATAATACCTAACTTCATGTCCTTGCAGGATGTACCAAGGATCGATGTCTGTGCTGAGAGCCCACTGCCACCAAGATGTACATATGTAGGTGTACACAGTGCTGCAGGTTCTGCTGACACATCGTGTCCCTCATGGCCAAAAATCCCAATCAGAATAAACTGGTCCATCTGTCTGAGATAGGGAAGTGTACAGCACACAGGGAGCCACTGCATAAGGATGGACAAGGTTAGGGACCCTGCAGTTCTGTGTCCTGTACAGTGCATGGGTCTGTGCCTCATGTTGTGTCCTTTCAAAGGGCCTCACATTGGTAGGTCCCTCACCAGTTGAGATACTTATCCCACTCACTCCGGGTGTGGTCGGACCCATTTCCTTCCCTATTGCACATTTTCGATTTCCAGCCGGATGGAAGGTGATGCTGAGTGCTCATTGGCCAGTGGCTAACAGCCTCCAGCTCCATGCGTCAGAGAAGCCACAAACATCCAGATTCCCTTCCTGTTAGTCTTTCCCATAAACTCCACAGGCTTCCCACATCCCCAGCCCCTGGTGTATGAGGTGACCATGTAAGATATGTGTATCCACCATCCCATCAGATGCTCCTAACTGCGACAAATCCCCATCTCTTCCACATGAACCCAATCCATTCCATGCTTTATCATCTTAGATAATCATCTTACAAATACAGTTGTTCCCATTCACAACTGTTGTAACCCTTCTCGCCAGCCTGTTACCTCAATCCCAACTAAGTGTCATGCCTGTGGATTGGAGAGGTGCCATGTGGATCATTACGGATTGTCAAATGTTGAATGCCAATGTCCATGGAAGAAAGGGTACAAGTGTTAGTGCCCTTGGA